GGGCATGTGTGTGTGCATGTTTGTGTGTGTGTACACGTGCGTGTGTGTGTGTGTGTATACACGTACGTACGTATTTATGCTTGCATATATATATATAATCCCGTGTGTACTGTGCTTGCGCATGCTTCCTCTTAAAAACAGTGGTCTATTTGAATCACTAGAATAGTAAGACCTTTTTGTTTTAATATTACTTTATGATTTATGGACCATGTATTTGGGGTGATTGAGGCAGTTTAATCAACAATCAAGGAGAATCAGTTTAATCAACAATTAAAGAAAACCAGTTTATATAATCAACGATCAACATATCCGATCATATAGTGCGATCAGCGTTAATCTCTTCTAGATCCTCACAATCAATTCGCAACCAATTGTGTATCTCTTCGACTTTTTATGATGGTGAAGAGAGTTCTAAAAACTCTTCTGGATTTAAATCGTTCAAGTCCATTTATAGTATAGCCTTCTAAAATGGCATCGCTCGTACTGCACTCGTTTCTGCACTGGAACAGGCCAATCAATTATCAGACCATTTCGAACCACCACAACCCGTTCCCTTAGCTGCGTATTGAAAATAGAACCTAAGGCAGTCTTAATTCTTACTGACTGAACCACCACAACCTGTTCGCTTGTTTTCATTACAATATACCTCACAAGTGCTCGAGAAACCTGGTACTCTTGTCGTGTGCGCTCACTAACCCGGCATGAGGGACTGTAATATGATATTGGTATAGTTACAATAGGACCCTCAGCCTCGTTATGGTTCTTTCGCTCGTTGGCATCAATTTTATAGGTGTATCAGGATCACGCTAAGCATGAAGCTCAAAGTACTATGCATTCACGGGTTCGGCCAAACACCTGAGATGTTCCGCGCGAAATCTGGCTCGCTGCGACAAGCATTAAAGAAGAAATGTGAATTCGTGTTTGTCCAAGCGCCACATATGATTCGTTCCGATGGTGATGCCGCACAAATATCTGTCGATATTCAAAAGGTATGTTATGACTAAATTTACGATCTTAGTTATGACTATGTGTCTGGGTGAACGGTTTTTGTGAGCGTCCGTAACTCACTTTCTACCTCTAATCTAGCAAATACTCTGATAAACGCGCCTCTCACAATATAGCCTAATTAGTTGAGCAATCCGATTTTGTTAACGAGTGGGTATAAAAACCTCTTTGAATACTCTGTGGCAAAAACTGCCATTTGGTATTCACGCCCAAGGTTTGGTCTCGAACAACACTTCTGAAAAACAACATTTTGGTTTTGAATCTTCATCTGTAGGTCGGATCGGAAGATACTCCAATCGTTGGCGTCGACAATGGGTTAGGTTTTGCGTGGTGGACAATCGAGGGAAGGAACCGTTTGTCCGAAAATTGGGATCCACTGACACCCCCGGTAGAAGGACAGCGCATCGTAGGCCTGGAAGACTCTCTCCGTCTTATTGATTTTAAGTTCCGCACGGTAAGTAGATACAAGTCTGTCAACTCTAGAATGCACTACACTATTTATGTATCACACTACTTCGGACCACATAAACCATTGCCTAGCTCGGATTATTTTGGAGTGCTTATTGTCGGCAAGGAATTGCTCACTGTCACTTTCCGTGGTCCTCCAAAAGTTGACGTTGTTCGTATCACACATTTCCAACCATCAGGCCTTTCAGCCGTGTAGTTCATCCAAAGTTTGACATGTTATTCATACAATACCTTATCTAATAGGAGGGCCCCTTCCATGGATGCTTCGCATTCTCTCAAGGTGCGAAAGCGTTTTGAAAACGCACATCTGCATCATATATTTGGTGAGCTGATTATTTTTGCAAGATAGTGCAAGTCATGACCTTTAATCTCCGTTCCATATTATAATTGATTTTCAAATCGCCATGGCAACTTCCTCGAGTGAAACAAGACAAGTATTTATTTACGCATCTGTGACATTTCCAGTATATATTGATTTAGATAACTGCTGATATTCGTACACGACAATTAGACCTTGCATTCGCTCCTGTTCTGAGTTTTCATGCTGTGGCACAACATCACATCGTGATGCATTCTATTTCTCTGCCCGCTTGCTGTAGAATAGGTGCTTCCTTCTTGAGCATTCTAGCTGCAATTGCCGAGCGGAATCGACAACTTATAAACCCGCGAGTCGACAACAGAAGTACGACTCATCGTGACAATGAGAAGTTCAGCAACAGGGTGCCAGCAGACATTGGACTAAATATACAATTTAAGTTCGGAATTTTCGTTTCAGGTATGCGGATGTCTCCTAATGGTTTTATGTATATTTATTGATTCGTTGTAGGCTAGGTTGTCCCTGAGACTTTCTAAAAGTCCAAAAATGTGCCATATGTTGAATCGCAGAATGATAGTTTTGTGGCTGTCGGTGGACGTTATAACTATGATTTAAACATGATCCAATTCCGCTCAAATCTCTCCCAAAATCTGATCTGTTCAGGATTTTTTCCCCAAGAGATAGCCATTCGTGAATACATCCGACATCATATGCAAGCCACAGACGATGCGATTAAGACAGTTCACATATACGGAACAACTGACCAGGTGTGTGATACTTCGCTTGATGGTGATGAGATTCCTGATCGTTCAATGAATTGAACTATTTCTCACGTCGGGAAATACAAATGATCGAATCCAGAATCGAATGGCAGTAATAGTTGTGCTCTCCCCTCTAAGAAGCGCTGAAGGTGGCCCACCATGCGTTTTAAGTGAGCGCGAACAAGTAGTTGTTTGCTGCTATACTCACACCGCTTCTATCGTGCTTACTACTTACACCTAGGTCATACCCGCGTCGATGAGCATAGCTTACCACGATTTCTTATACAGCTCATACAGCCGTCAAGCAACTGTATTAATGGCTCACGAAGGAGGGCACTTCGTGCCACATGAAAGGTCCATCAAAGCAGCTGTGGTCTCGGCGCTCCACTGTTTTTCTCCAGTAGACAATGTTATTGTGGAAGGATAAGATGGAATCATGACATATACTTCTTCGATGAAGACTAGGTTCCTTGGTATTGGTGTATTGCTAGATGTTTGTACCGACGCATCATTCTCAAGTTATGTGAGTACTAGCTGTGTGCACTTCTATGCTTACAATATGATGGTTTATTGCTATTTACAATCATAGTTCTATTACAGTCCATCTGTGTATCGAGAACTTGATCCAAAGCGGTTGCAGCTCTCTCTGCTCCTCTCGAGAGGGAGCGTGTAGAAGGGAGATATCGGCAGCACTGTATAAGTGGGTCAACGAGACTCTAGCTAATACGGGTTCGTATACTGACCATATGGCTGTCTGGTATCTGGACATAGATCGAAAATAAATTACGGGAATATAAACTAACATCTAAAAAAAGGTTACTTCCACGTCTGCGTAAAAGTGTACAATATACATAGGTATAGCTGTATGCATTAATACATATATATATATCTATATATATATATAATGTGTGTGTGTGTGTCAGAGTGTGTGTGAGCGTGTGTGAGATATATATATATACATATATATATATATATATATACTATATATAATAATATATATATACTATATATATATATTTATTGTATATATATATATATATATATATATATAATACACACACACATACAAAGACACATATACTATGTGCGAGTATAAA